TTCAAATATAAAGATACAAATAGGTTAAAAGTGAAAGGGGGGAAAAGATATACCATGCTAACACTAGTCAAAAGAAAGTGACATTCAATCAAAATATAAAACTCATGTGTTTTCTCTATAGTGGCAATGAGGGGTTAGAAAATAAAAATTTGGAAAATATGTATCATTTATGATAGCATAAAAAATAAAAGGAATAATTCTAATTAAAGATGTATGAAACCTTTACTCAGAAGACTATGAAAGGTTATTGACAAAAATTAAAGATGACTCAAATAAGTGGAGTGATATGCAGTTTACAAGGATTAGATAATATCATAAAACGTTAATTCTCAAATGACCTATAATTTATAATTTAAAGTCATCTCAATCAAAATCCCAAAATGACTTTTGGAACTTCACAATTCTGAACTGTATTTGGAAATGCTAAAGGCCAAAGGATAAAGAACAATGTTGGAAGACTTGGTCTGCCAGATATCAGGCTAACAATCAAGATAGTATAGTATTAGCACAATGAACTAAAACACAGTCCAGTAACAGACCCAAATATATATGGACAACTTATTTATGAGAAAGGTACTATCGTAAAGGTAAAGGACTACCTTTCGAAGAAATGGCACTTGGATGTATAAATACATAGGAAAAGAACAAACTATGACCCCATATACAAAAATAAATTCCAGGTAGGTTGCAGATCTAAATGCAAAAAGTGGAACCATAGGCCAGGAGCAGTAGCTCACACCTGTAATCCCAGCACTATGGGAGGCCGAGGAGGGTGGATCACTTGAGGTCAGGAGTTCAAGACCAGCCCGGCCAACATGGTGAAACCCAGTCTCCACTAAAAATACAAAGTTAGCTGGGCATGGTGGCATGTGCCTGTAATCCCAGCTACATGGGATGCTGAGGCAGGAAAATCGTTTGAATCCGGAAGGCGGAGGTTGCAGTGAGCTGAGATCGTGAAATTGCACTCCAGCCTGGGCAAAAAGAGTGAACCGAAACCAAAAAAAAAAAAAAAAAAAAAAAAAGGGCAGGGGAGGGTACGGTGGCTCATGCCTGTAATCCCAGCACTTTGGGAGGCCGAGGCAGGTGGATTGCCTAAGGTCAGGAGTTCGAGACCAGTCTGGCCAACATGGTGAAACTCCGTCTCTACTAAAAATACAAAAAACATTAGCTGGGCTTGGTGGCATGTGCCTGTAATGCCAGCTACTCGGGAGGCTGAGACAGAGGAATTGCCCGAACCAGGGAGGTGGAGGTTGCAGTGAGCCGAAATCGCACCACTGCACTCCAGCCTGGGCAACAGAGTGAGACTCTGTCTTAAAAAAAAAAAAAAAGAAACTGTAATTTCCAGAAGATTATGTAGGAGAATATCTTCATGACTGTGGTTGGAAAAAAAACTTTTTAAAAGGACATAGAAAACAACTACATAATCAAGGAAAACAAACTGAAGTTCTAGCCATCAAAGCAAGCAACATGCAAACTATCAAGAGAGTTACAAGCGAAGCCACAGAGTGGAAATAGATATTTATAATACATATACTGACAAAGGGCTTGCATCCAGAATATATAAAGAACTCCCTAAATAAATATGTCAGATACATACCTCAATAAAAATAATAAGGATATCTGAATAGGTGGCTCACAAAAGAGGCATCAAATGGACAATAAATATATGAAACGATACTCAATCACACTAGTAGTTAGGGGAATGCAAATGAAAATCACAAGACAGCAATCTAAGTTCACCAGAAAAATCGACAATACTATATGGTCGGTAAGGACATGGAGCAAACGTATCACTCATATACTACTGGTAGAAGTGTAAACTGATAAAACCCCCTTGGGAGGTTGTCATTACCTACTCAAGTTGAACACAGACATATCCTGAGACCAAAAATTCCACTCCAACATACATATGCAGCCTAAATTTGTGTAATACACACCAGTAGATGAAAGAATGTTCATAGCGACACTGCTCACAATAGCTGCAAACCGGAAATAACACAAATGTTCCCTGACAGTGGATGGATGAAGTCATATGTTCATATAGCAGACCCACCAAAGAAAATGAACAAAGTTCAGCCAATGCGACAACATGGATGAATCTAACAAATATAATGGTAGACAGAAGAAGCCAGATACAAAAGAATACATACTCTACAATTCCACTTACATAGCATTGAAAAAAGAGAACTTAAAATGTTTAAGGATGCATACTTGGGTATTTTTCAGAAAATTCAGGATGGTGATTAGCTTTAAAGGCACGAAGGGGCAGTAACCAGCAGGAAGCATAAAGTGGTGATAATTACATAGGTGTTCATTTACAGATAAATCATTGAGCTGTAAATTTTTGTTTTGTGTACTTTACTGAATGTTATGTTAAATTGTGTCATTAGAAAATATAAAGGAGGAGGGTATAGTCAACCAATGTCCACGTTATACAAAGCGGCTATAAGGTTTACAGCAATGAGAACTGATAGCTGGAAGAAGAGCAGTTGGGGTGGACTATAGGGGGCGGAACTCAACTGAAGCATATGGAAACAAGAATGGGAGGGAAAGAAGTGGAGACATAAACATAAACAACTGCTTGGAAACATTTTGGTATTTAAAGGAGAACAAAGATGAAAGGTGATAGTTGGAAGTGAATGTAGGGTCAGGAGAATATATTTTGGGTTTGTTTGCTTTACGGGAGCTATTAAAGAACGTACTCTGCTAAGAATAAACCATTGGCCGGGTGTGGTGGCTCAAACCTGCAATCCCAGCAGTTTGCAAGGCTGAGGACGGTGGATCACTTGAGGCCGGGAGTTTGAGACTAGATTGGGCAGCATGGCGAAACCCCATCTCTACCAAAAATACAAAAACTAGCCAGGTGTGGTAGCGCATGACTGTAGTCTCAGCTACTCGGGTGGCTGAGGCAGGAGAATTGCCTGAACCCCGGAGACGGAGGTTGCAGTGAGCTGAGATTGCACCACTGCACTCCAGCTTCAGTGACAGAGCAAGACTCCATCTCAAAAAGAAACAAAAAACAAAAGACAGGAGAAAAGTGTGAAACTAGTCTCGAACGTTAGTTTGACAGAAATTGTGGATGACTTGAGACATTGGTCTTTATCCTATGGGCATTAAATAGCTACTGTAAATTACTCAGGGAAGGAAGAAAAGATATAATTTACTTAGTCTTTCCAATTTTCTTTTTTGAAGAAGGGTACTCTTTCCCAAGTAGAATGAAGCTTGGATTAGGGACTAAGACAGGGGAGGGCGACTGGACAGAAAGAACCTTTAGAAAACTAATAACATCTGTGGATGATAACGAGAACCTGAACTATGATTCACTGTATCTTCCCCTGGAACATTCCATTTACAGTGTTAATCTCACACTTTCATCATTGTTGATCAACTCTGACATGTCACATTTAATGCAAAGAAAACTTCAGGTTACCAAAAGAAGAATAAAGTTCTGTTAAATACATCAAAGTATTGAAAAGTATTATTTGGTCTTAAAATAGAATTGTTTTTGACACTTTGGGAAATTAGGACATTCAAAAGCAGCTGTGTGTACAGGAGAATTTACAAAGTCACAGTATGCCTAGGAAAGATACACACTTGGAAACATTCTGAGAAGACCGTAAGCTTTCACCTATGGCTGATCCCTAGGCTCAGAGCAAGCCTGGTTAAATGGGAAAAGAATGTCCCAGCACAGAGCCAATCTGAAAACACTGGGAGAGGTGGGCTGTTCTCAATCTCTCTCCCCACCTCGCCTCCACCTTTGGAGGGGAGTCGGGGGTATTTGTTTTCAGCTCTGGGAATTCAAGGAAATCTCTGTCAAACATTAGCTGAACATGAGCTAATAGAACGTAGACTTCAATAATCACACATGACATGGAATAGTCTTCACAAAAATAGTTTGAAAAAGTCTCAACACAAAAGGACTACTACAGCCTTCAATAGTAAAATAAGACAGCAAATCCTAGGAAAGAAGGAGTTAAAGATTTCCAGAGTAATCACATGATAGTGAAATGCTCAATTTTCAACAACAAAATAACGAGGAATACAAGGAAACAGGAAAACATGCTCACTCAAAGGAATGGAATAAGCTGACAGAAACTATGCTTGAGAAACCACAGACATCAGACTTACTGGGAAAGACTTTTAAATGACTGTCTTAAATACACTCAAAAAGCCAAGAGACAAACATGGACAAACAACTAAAGAAAATCAGGAAAACACATTATAAAAAGAAACCAAACAGAAATTGTGGAGCTAAGAAGTATAACAACTGAAACAAAAAATTTACTAAAGGTGTTAAAGAGCAGATTTGAGTAGGCAGACAAAAGAATTGGTGAACTTTAAGAAATGACAATTAAAATGATCAAGTCTGAGGAGCAGAAAGAAAAAAGAATGAAGAATAACCATTTGATCCAATAAGTCTATTTCTGGGTATATCCTTAAAATAATTGAAACAGGGTCTCAAACAGATACTCATATGCCAATGTTCACAGCAGAAATATTCATAACAGTCAAAAGAAACAACCCCAATGTCAGTCAATAGATGAATGGATAAAGTTTGGTAATATACATACAATGGAATATTATTCAGTCTTGAAAAGAAATTTTGACACATGCTACAACAAAAAGAACCTTGAAAATATTATGCTAAGGGAAATAAGCCAGACACAAAAAGACAAGTATTGTTTAATTCCACTTATATCAGATATCTGAAATAGGCAAATTTATAAAGACAGAAAGTTGAATAGAGGTTACCAGGGGTTGGCAGGGAGGGGAATGGAGATATTATTTAATAGGCACAGAGTTTTTGTTTGAGATGATCAAAAACTTCTGAAAACGGATAATGTTAAGATTAACATTATGAACGTAGTTATTACAGATAAACTGTACACTTAAAATGGTTATAATAGTAAATTTTGTTATATATATTTTACCAGAATAAAAAAAAGTACAAAAGAGAAAAAGAAAAAAGATGTATAAGAGAAAAGCACCCAAATACTCACCACTTCTACCTGCTCACCAGCAGATGCAGCTTTGCCAATATCTGCATTGTCATGGGAAAATGGTCTTTTGACAGTTTCACCCACCCCAGAATCTTCACCTGTTGTAATCCAAGAATTCTGCATGTTTCCCTAAAACAAAATGTGCCAGTAATTGCAACTGAATTCAACTTTAAATAAACATGCATACTTTACCAATAGAATACCGATTCTTTTTTTTTTTTAATAAAACTTTATTAGAAACCTTGATCTTAAATTTAGACATTGAGAATTAAATTCCAGGAGAGTCAATCTTTCTCAAACTATAAATAAGAAATACAGTGGTTCCACTGTTTAACTTAACATTTCTTTTTCATAATCTATATGGCCAAAAATCTTAAATCAAAAGACATGACATTTACAGACAAAAAACATAGATTTAAGACCCTACGCTGCTGATCACTAGTTAACTGATGCTGGAAAATCACAAAACTCTCTACTTTAGCTTAGTTTTTTCAGCCTAATGTGCATCATAGGGTTAACATCAAGATCCAATAAGGTACTATGTCTAGAAACCTTTTAGAGTCATTAATTGAGAGTCATTCATTTATTCTTTGGATTATATGTGCAAAATTGAGAAAAAGGCATAAGCACAAAACTTCATGTGACTAAAATCCAGGAATCTCTGAATATTTTTAACCTCTGTAGGAAAATGTTGTAAGATCTATAACACTGCATTTCAATCTGTTTCCAGGCATTAAGAACAACTATTTATTTGCCTCATAACCCAAATTCATGCTCCCCAATAAAAACTGAGTATCTAACATTAGGGTATAAAATGCCAGCTGAAAGAGTATTCACAACCATAGACCTAATTCAATAATTTGATAAGATTACTCACTGTCAGACATAGAAAAGATCTTAGAAATCAACCAAGCCAAACTCTCACTTAATAGACATGGAAGAGAGATAGCAAAATGATTGCTATTGCTAGTACTGGGCTAAGCAGCCATGTTTCACATACATGGTTTTATCATTCTACTCTGCCTTCCTCTTCCTCCTGCTAGTAGTCTCCTCTCTTCCTGAGAAAATGAAAACTGACTGATTTTGTTACCATAGGGTAAACCAAACTAGCATCTGGAATTAGGACAGATGATTATGGATGGAGTATATGAAATCATGAAGAACAGAAGTTGCTACGTTCTGTTCTGGATTCCTACTATGAACAAAGGCATTCAAGTCTCCAAAATTAGGGTGACCAGCCACATCCTTTGATTTCTGGAGCCCTCTAGGAACTCTGGCACAATCAAAGCTAATACATTACATTGAATTTACATATGGTTCAAATATGTACCTTTCTCTGTCCAAATATAAAGCATCCAAGAAAGAAAAAGATCTTTTGCATCCAACAGCGGCTGGTAGAATTTGTTTCCTCTCTAAATATAGTTTCATTTTTGAAATAAAACCAAGAGATTAACAAACAAATTATGACGTTGGTACAGAGAAAACGAAATGCAGTGTTTTAGATTTGATGCTGAAGTGGGACGTTGGCTTTCTTCTTGGAAGTGTGACTCTTCATTGTATATGGTTGTGAATACCGATTCTTATCTATGATGAAAAGAAAAAGCATATGCTTCTACACTACAGGATCTCCATGGTGATAAGAGTATCTTTTTGTATGCTATTAAGATGACTGGTGGCTGGAGTCCATGATTAGAAGACTAGAACTTGTAGCCCCACTCTCCCACCTCAAGCGGGGAAAGGACTGGAAATTGACTTAATCACCAACAGCCAATGATTTAACCAATCATGCCTATGTAATAAAACCTCCATAAAAATCTTATATGATAAAGTTCAGAGAATTTCTGCATTGGTGAATGCATCCACATGCCAAGAGGGTGGTGTACCCAAACTCCACAGACAGAAGCTCTTCTACCTAGGACCAGCCTGGACCTGTGCCTCTTCAATTGGCTGTTCATTTATATCCCTTATATAATAATAAACCAGTAATAGCAAGCAGAGTGTTTCCCTGAATTTTGTGACCCATTATAGCAAATTATCACAAATTATTGTAGGAACCCCCAATTTACAAACAAATTAGACAGAATTGTGGATAACCAACAGACCTACTATTTGCAGTTGGTATCTAAAGTAGCAGGTAGTCATGTGGGACTGAGCCCTTTACCTGTGGGTCTGATACTAACTGTGTAGTGAGTGTCAGAATTGAATTGAATCACTGGACACCTAGTTGGTATCTACAGAGAAATGGAGAATGGCCAGGTGTAGGAGACAACAGTCCCAAACATTTGGTGTCAGAAGCGTTATGAGAAAAAGGAACAGTTTTTTCCCTTTAATGTCCTATATTATTATGATCTTCTGCCTTTCCGAAAGATAAATATTTATCTTTAGTAAAAAGAAACAGTGCGTGTGCAGTGACAAACAGAGTTGACATGCAGCCTGCATGCCAGGGATTCAAAAAGGAAGAAGAATAGGCACTGTGACAAACCACAGAAAGGTGTACCAACCCAAGGAAGCAGCCGCTACTCAATTCCAGTCAATCATCGCCATGTGGGAGTGAAAATTCATATTACCAGATATCTGGTCCTTCATATGAAACATTATTAAATACTGGCTCAAAATTTATCAAACAAACCAAACATGCCTGAGTTGAATTTAGTGTACCCATTGTTAGTTGCAACCTCTGTCACCCTCTCAACATTCAATGTAGTAAGCAGCCCAACGATCTGGGGAATTTATGTGCACAAGAAGGATTAAAATACTTATATTAATTTAATCCAACAAATAATTATTGAACACTTGCTAAGGGCCAAAGGATATGGTAGTAGTCACAAGAGAGGACAGGTCCCCAAACACTGAACTATACTGCAGTGTCACAACATGCTAGAATGCGGTAAACTACATTCACCTAAAGCAGTACTCTGAATTCTATTTCATATTCTTCTGGAAGTTCAGTTTAGTGCAAACATTTGTGTAACACCTACGGTGTTCAGACACTGTGCTAAGAGCTTGGAGGACAAAAATGAGCAACATCAATCTTAGCTTCAAGGAGTTTACAGTTTAATAAGGGAGGCACACAGCTAGGCAGGTCCTTTCGATATAATAATGTGAGTGCTAGGCTAAAGGTGTGCACAGGGGCCTCTGCCAAAACACAGGAGGGATACTAAGGGCACCCAGAAATCCAAGGAAGGTTTTCTAGAAAAAAACTGACACTGGTGTGATACGTTGAAGGATGAGTAAGGGTAAGCTAGATGGAAAGGGCATTCTAAGAAGAGAGAACCTCATGACAAATATCACAGGGGTATGGAATAGCATGGTGCCTGCAGGGGGGTCTTAGACAATTCAACATTACTAGAGGTCAAAATATAAGGTGATGAATGTCAGAAGATGAAGCTAAAGAATCAAGTAAGGGACTTGAGAGTATACCACACCATGGAATGAGTCTGCACTTGATTCTCCAGGTAGGGCCAAATCCCCTAAGATATTATTGCATTTAAAGTTGTTTTTGAGATCAGTGAAGGAGGGTGGTACTAATGTTCTATGGAGAAACTGGAGGAAGCATGGAGACCACAGATTGCTGACTTACGATATAAAATATTATCATTCTTTGGAAAGAAGTGCTAATCTAATGGATATTTTGTTCTTTCACAGATAGCTTTAAAAAACTTGAACGCTACTTAACCAAGATTTCTTTTTTAAATCTAAGTATGTTAAATCCCTGAAGATCATTCAAGACCTTTGATTTCTTAACTGGATGGGGTGGGGGGTGGTGGTAAGAGAGGGGATGAAAACAAACATGAAAAAAAATTGCCCCATAAATTTTCTCCTTAAAAAAAAAAATCCTAGATCTTTAAAGGAGGACACATGACAAAATGTCAAATAAATAACTTGTTTTTGTATTATTGTGATTTTGTGAACTCTAGAGAAAAGCTTTCCATGAGGAAATATTTTATGAGAAGGAAAAGTGATGAAAAATCAGGACAGCAATGAAATATACTTTGAATGGCTTGCTTCTTTAACTTCTAGGTCAAAAACTAGACCAAAAGTTGAAAGTCTTGCAGGCTACCATCCAGGTCCAGGGTTACAAGCCGGAGACAATAAAAAGGAGGTTTTTCTCTTTTCTGCCAGGGAAAACTATCCTCTGCAAACAAAGATGGTTTGGTTTACTGTCGACGAGCTCTTCCTAATTTACGCAGAAAAGCCGTATAATTTAAGGTTCTACTGGGTGTATTTAGAGATTTAGACAGTCCTGGGTTTGAGTCCCTGCTTTGCCATTATCTAGCTCTGTGACATTAGGCCAATTACTTAGGTTACTTAACAGTTGTGTACCTTAATTTACTCCTCTGAAAACAGAGATAATAACACCCGCCTTGTGTGGCTATCGCAAATCTGAAGTAATATAATGTAAATAAAGTGTTTGATGCAGTGCCTGGCACATTATAACCACGTAGTCATCAATAAACGTTAGTTATTACTGTATGTGATGGTTAATACTGACTGTCAACTTAATTGGATTGAAGGATGCAAAGGATAGATCCTGGGCATGTCTGTGAGGGTGCTGCCAAAGGAGATTAACATTTGAGTCAGTGGGCTGGGGAAGGCAGACCCACCCTTAATCTGGGTGAGCACCATCTAATCAGTTGCCAGCAAATATAAAGCAGGCAGAAAAACGTGAAAAGGCTAGACTGGCTTAGCCTCCCAGCCTACAGCTTTCTCCCATGCTGGACGCTTCCTGTCCTTGTACATCAGACTCCAGGTTCTTCAGCTTTGAGACTCGGACTGGCTTCCCCTGCTCCTCAGCTTGCAGACGGCCTATTGTGGGACTCTGTGATTGTGTGAGTTAATACTACTTAGTAAACTCCCCTTTATACATATCTGTCCTATTAGTTCTGTCCTTTGAGAGAACCCTGACTAATACACCATATAAATGTTTCAATTATCTTTTTTAAAAGGCATTATGAAACACTGAAAATCTATGCTGAAATCAGCAAATTTCAATACAGCAAGGGAAGATTTAGCATCAATATTTTAATTGACTCTTTACAAAAACTCCATCCCCCCAAAAGAAGGTATTTCTTGACTTTTTTTATATTTAAGATATCCTAAACACTTTTATTCATAACTTCTGCCACAGCACAATGCACGTGTTGCTGAAATGTCTTGTTTTTTGTTCATCTTGTTTTTATTGAGGCAAGGTCTCACTCACTGTTGCCTAGGCTGGAATGCAGTGGCGTGATCAGGGCTCACTGCAGTCTTGACCTCCTGGGATCCTTTGACCTCAGTCTCCAAAGTAGCTGGGACCACAGGTGTGCACCAGCATGCTCGGCAATTTTTTTTATTTTTTTTATTTTTAGAGAGATGGAGTCTCACTATGTTGCCCAGGCTGGTCTGGAACTCTTGGGCTCAAGTGATCCATCCACTCACATGATCATCCTTCCAAACTGCTGAAATTGCATGCATAAGACGCTGTATCTGGCCTTGAAATGTTTCAATTCACTTACACAGGTAAAATGTGGGGGTAACCATTCGACAACAACAAATAACAGGAGACTAACATTAAAATAGATATCAAGGTCATCTGGCATATCTGCAGTAATCATTTCAATATCTGCATTACATTTAGCTCACATGAATGTTTAAAAAAACAACAAAACCTCTCTAAAACCTTATCCTTCCTATGATTCTGACTGTAGTTTTGTTTAGCACATTTTCTTTGCTCATGCAGCAAGGCATGTGTGCTCTTACCATCATTTCCTTCCCCTTTTGCATTACTCATTTCTCTTGCCCTCTGATTCACTCGTCTGTCTAATTTCCTTTCTCACTTCACTTCCCTTTCTTCCACTTCTTGGCCGTTATATAAATACTGAAGACTATGAATAATTGAATCACTGCTTGCTAAGTGACTACATATTTGGAAGAAAAGCAAATGAATATTTTTAAAATAAGCTACTTCTAAGTATTTTATATATGGTGATATCTTCTTCAAATTGACATTAAAATAATAAGCAACTAAGATGGAATTTTTACCATTAATAATTATATAAATCTTCAGGAAAAAGTTACATAGTGAGGAGAAGAGAATTGATCACAAACTTAAATGCAATTGCAGAAAATTAAACTGAAATACTAATTAGCCCACTTCATTTATCAGAGTTAATACACTCCTATACTTCTCAATAGCAGACTCTAACATATACAACTCCAGGATTAAAAACAAGCTATCAATTCAGGTTAAAAAAAAAAAAAAAAGACCTCAAAAACGAAAATTAGAGGATATCTCAGTCAAACATCAAGACTTTCATGTTTTCTTAACAGCTGATTTACTAATGACGACAAAGTCAAAACCACCAAAGTAAACTGCAAAGTGAAGCTGGAATAGGCAAGCATGAAAACTTCCGCATGGAAAGTTGCATTTGTCTCAAAAAGCAGAAGCTGTGACTATATCTTACAGAAAAAGTTTTAAAAAGTTTAAGACAAAAGTACTCTGATAAGTCATAAGAAAGTGGTTTAAGCACTATTTAAAAGTCACCACAATAATTCTCTGTCACAGAATTATAGGGATAATCTGACCCAACGTTCTTCAAACTCTGGGCCACTGACATTAGAATCACTTAGGCAACTTGATAAAAGTTTAGATTCCCAGGAGCCAACCAGACCAAGTGAATCAGACTCACAGGGCCTGGAGTCCAGGAATTTGCATTGAAAACTCCTGGTACACGTTAATCTTCTCAAAATAACAATAAAGAAATAAAGGACATACGGGATTAAGCTATGTAAAGCCTTCTAAAATTACTTGCTAAGCACTAGCCTTCTTAGGGACAATGGGAAGACTAACATTTTGATTCTTGGACCCTAAGGCCAATGTTCTTTCTGCTATATCATGCTGCTAATTAGACTTATCAGATTTCAGATATCAAGGACAATTTAGAGAAATCCAGCAGAAATCTAAGCTAAAGTTCTGAATGGTTTCTAGACTTAGCAAAGTCCTTCCTGTATAACACATTTCCTGCTTTCAGACCTGCTCTTTCCATATGGTAAGGCAGAAATGGTACACTCAGGAAACCATAGCAAATATTACGAGATTATTTCATTTGAGAATTCATTCTACCACAGTGAAATTTGGTATTTGAGGTCTCAAACAAATACTAACATAGTACTTTGGCCACACTTCAAGGAGAAAAACTAAGCAGCTAAGAAGGCAGGGAGAGAGGGCAGAAGTGAATATTCACACTAAATAAAATGTATGATTTAAAAGAATGCTCACAGATGCATCCAGAAGTGTTTGTTCCCTTAGTGTCTCCTCCTGTCTTTGAGATTTCAGCTCTTGCTGGAGGCTTTCATTTTCAAGCACAACTGCTTGTATTTTATTTTTCAATCCAGAGAGTTCCTCCTATAATAAGAAACATCAAATACATTAAGCATTATTAAGCAGTGTTTTTATTTGTTGATTACAGGACCCAGCATGATATAAAGTATGGAAGACTTATGTTCTCCTTTTCCTGAAATATAATTATATTTAGACAAACAAGGCAACCTAAACATTAGCTAGATACTAAAGAGAAGGCTAAGGTATATAGTAATGGGCCTGCTGGTGGCATATCACAAAAGTGTGTCGTTTCTGACAATTTCCTTTTCTCCAAGGAATCAAGGCTCAAAGAAAAGTCTTAATTAAAAGAGTTATCCAAGAGATTTTAAAGAAGTAGACTCTGAAAAATGAGTTAAGACATATTATGACTAATGATCAAATACCATCAACTTGTTAAAAACTGATGGAAGATTAAATAGAGGGAGGCTCTGAGACAGAAAGGCATAGACAGGTGTGATGATTACCTATGAAATGGTAGCCAGATAGGAGAGAATTACAGTAAAACATTTCATGGAGAATTCTTAAAGAGTATTTCCTTGGCCTCACAGGATGTAATGTAAAGAATTAACAAATCAATAACAATTAAAATTACAGGATGTAATGTAAGAAATTACAGGTCAACAATAATTAGAATAGCTATTGAGTGGACCTCAGTCGCTGGAAAAACAATTCAATAACATCAATATATCAATCATATAATACTTAACCTAATATTCATTACTAGTGTAATCACAAGCTATTGTACAACATGTGAAAATTCCCCTCAATTATTATTATTTTTAAACCCAAAGCTATACTAAAAGCTGAAATTAAAAAAATATTGTGGACTTTCATTTTTCAGTCTGGAATGTAATGAGCTTGGAACAGCTCACTCCCATCTTCACAACAGGAAAAATGTTGAACAAACTGGAAATCAACAACTCTTCTTAGATTCATCAGATAATTGAGTCACAGGGAAAACTGCTGCCCCAAAATTGACGAGACGAGTGATCACTGAGACACAGAATTTACAGGAGGAAATCAGAAACCTCTGGAGGAGGTAGAAAATCTAAACTGTAATTGATGACTTGCTGGAAGCTCAGTGTCAACAAGTTTGAGAGTTAAAAATTCCAGGCTGGGCGCAGTGGCTTATGGCTGTAATCCCAGCACTTTCGGAGGCCAAGGTGGGCGGATTACAAGGTCAGGGGTTCAAGACCAGCCTGGCCAATATGGTGAAACCCCATCTCTACTAAAAATACAAAAATTAGCCAGGTGTGGTAGCACACGCCTGTAGTCCCAGCCACTCAGGAGGCTGAGGCAGGAGAATCGCTTGATCCTGGGAGGCCGAGGTTTCAGTGAGCCGAGATCACACCACTGCACTCCAGCCTGGGTGACAGAGCGAGACTCTGTCTCAAAATAAATAAATAAATAAATTCCAGGAAGACCCAGTCATAGGAGGACTGCCCTGCTTCCCCAGTTTTATCTCCAGGACACTACCAGATTTTCACAGTAAAAACTAGAGAAAAATCCCCTTATGCAACCTAAAGAAAGAAGAAAAGCAGCCAGTTTGAAATATGCTCAGCACGTTGTGTTCCTTGTAACAGGCCTGACTCGAGGGAAACGACTTTACCAGAGCCGAACTGACTGGGGGACTGCTGTCACCTAACTGGCCTAAATAAAGAAATCCAGCTCCAGCCCCCTCTTGCATTCAGTGTGGGAGAAGGGGCCTCCGGCTTCCTCTAGCCTTCCTGTCTACCTTAAAGGGCAGGGGAGACTGAGAAGCACTTGTGAATGTCACAGCCCAAGGCAAAGGCTTATTAAAAGACTCAGATCTAGTCATAGGCCTATTGAACGCTTCCCTCTACTCCCACATCTAACGACCACATCACTAGGGCTCCTGTATACTAACAGAGAAATTCAACAGAAAGAACTGCATATCTCAGACTATATTTAGGAAGAATTCACTAGGGTAATGAAGAGATAACAGAAGAGACAAGACCAGGACATGGAAGGAAATTTTAGCCTCTGACATGTATAGTGACAGCAAACACAGCCTAGCTTCTAGCCAGATAAACATAAAAGCTCATGCTAAAGGCCTACTTATCTCAGTTCCTTTTACCAACTATGTCATGTCCAGCATTCATCAATTACAAGACATGCTAAAAGACTGAAACACAGTTTGAAAGGATTTAACAAGCATCAGAAACAGTCTCAGATAAGGCAGAGATGTTAAAATTATCAGACCAGGAATTTAAAATAATTATAATTAAGGCCAGGCACGGTGGCCCACGCCTGTAATCCCAAGCACTTTAGGAGGCCAAGGTGGGAGGATCACCTGACCAAGGTGTTCAAGACCAGCCTGACCATCATAGTGAAACCCCACCTCTACTAACAATGCAAAAAAAATTCGCCAGGGGTGGTGGTGCATGCACGTAATCCCAGCTACTTGGGAAGCTGAGGCAGGAGAATCGCTTGAACCCAGGAGGCAGAGGTTGCAGTGAGCCGAGATCACGCCACTGCACTTGAGCCTGGGTGACAGTACGACTCTGTCTCTAAATAAATAAATAAATAAATAAATAAAATAATTATGGTTTGTATGCTAAGGTCTCTAATAGAGAAAATAGACTATATGCAAGAACAGCAGAGTAATATAAGTGGAGAGATGGAAACTCTATGAAAAAGATGAAAAGAAAATGCTCAAAATAAAAAAACTATTAACAGATATGAAGAATGCCTTTGAAAGGCTCATCAATAGATTGGCCGTAGCTGAGGAATGCATTAGTAAACTTTAAGAATTGTGAATAAGAATTTCCAAAAAAGAAATGCAATAAGGAAAAAAACTGAAGACAGAAAAATTATACGAGAACTACAGTACAATTACAAATGGAGTAAGAAATACATACATACAACAGGAACACAAAAAAGGGAAGAAAGGAAAAGAAGAAATATTTCAGTCAATAATGACTGAAAAATTTCCTGAATTAATCACAGGCACCAAACCACAGATCTAGGAAGCTCACAGAACACCAAGCAGGATAAATACCACCACAAAATACACTGAAGAATATCATATTCATACTGCAGAAAATCAAAGACAAAGAGAAAAATCTTAAAATAAGCCAAAGTAAACAAACAAACAAACAAAACCCCAAAATCAGGCTGGGCGCGGTGGTTCATGCCTGTATTCCCAGCATACAGGGAATGTATGCCTTGGGAGGCCGAGGCAGGCAGATCACATGAGGGTCAGGAGTTCAAGACCAGCCTGGCTAACATTGTGAAACCCTGTCTCTACTAAAAATACAAAAATTAGCCAGGCATGGTGGTGGGCACCTGTAATCCCAGCTATTCAGGAGGCTGAGGCATGAGAATTGCTTGAACTGAGGAGGCTGAGACTGCAGCGAGCCAAGACCTCGCCACTATACTCCAGCCTGTGTGACAAAGCGAGACTCAGTCTCAAATAATAATAATAATAAAACAAAAATCAAACAAACAAAAAAACAAAAATCTTACCTATAAAGAAGGAAGGATAAGAATTACCTGGGAATACTTTTCAGAAGCCATGCAAACAGGAAGAGAATAAAATGAATCTAATATTTAAAGTGTTAAAAAAAAAAAAAAAAAAAAACCCACCAACCTAGAATTCTGGATTCAGCAAGATTAACCTTCAAAAGAGAAAGAAAACTATTTTCTTAGACCAACAAGAATTGATGGAATTTATTGCTAGCATATATGCTTCGCAAGAAATGTTAAAAAAGTTCTTCAGAAAGGAGAAAAGATAAGGTGAGAAACTGCCATCTACATAAAGAAAAAAAGTATTAAAGAAGGAGTAAGTGGATAGAAAATATTTTCTTATTAATTTATTTGACAGATGACACTTCGTGTTCAACATCATAATTGCAATAGTGTTTGTAGTAATTGTAGTTTATGGATAACTGAAATTAATGACAGATATTATAAAGGATGAGAGAGGGCTTGGGAATTCTATCATAAGGAATTTGTACTATTCAAGAAGTGGCACAGGGTTACTTGAAAGTAAAGTTAGTTATAAATATTTACTGCAAACTCTAAGGCAACCAGTAAAGAAAAAAAAAGACGAAGTAGTATAGTTGATCAACTGATATGTTAAGACAGGAGAAAAATGCAATCATACAAAAATTAGCTGGTTGTGGTGGCTCACGCCTGTAGTCCTAGCTACTAGGAAGGCTGAGGCACAAGAACTGATTGAACCCAGGAGGCAGAGGTTGCAGTGGGCCAAGATGGTGTCACTGCACTGCAGTCTGGGCAACTGAGAGAGACTCTGTCTCCAAATATAAAAAATAATATGCAATCATATAAAATGCTCAATCAAAGTTACAGAAGGGACAGGTGCAGTGGCTCACACCTGGTAAGTGCAGCACTTTGGAAGGCTGAGGTGGGAAGATCACTTGAGGCCAGGAGTTTGACACCAGCCTGGGCAACACAGTGAGACTCCATCTCTGCAAAAAACATAAAAATTAGCCAGCCATAGTGGCGCAATTCTGTAGTCCAAGCTACTCGGCAGGGAGGAGGTGGGAGGACTGCTTGAGCCCAAGAGTTCTAGGCTGTAGTGAGCTTTGATTACATCACTGCCTAGGTAACAGGGCAAGGCTCTATCTCTTTAAAAAAAAAAAAAAAAAAAAGCCAGAGAAGACAGAAAAAGAGTGAAAATTTTTTAAAGAAACAAAAAATAAAGACAATGAAAATAGTAGTAACAAATATGTTATACATTGATCCAATCATAACAATAATCTCTTTAAATATAATGGTCTGAATATACCAAGTAAAAGATAGAGACTGTCAGAGTGGTTAAAAAAAGAAGAACAACAAACTATATGTTGTCTACAAGAAGCCTATAATAGCTGGGCAAGGTGGCTCACATCTGTAATCCCATTACTTGGGAGGCTGAGGTTGGAGGATCCCTTGAGCCCAGGAGTTCAAGACCAGCCTGAGCAATATAGTGAGACCTCATCTCTAACCAAAAAAAAAAAAAAACCTCAAAACAAAAAAAGAAGCCAACTATAAATACA